CCTCTTTATTCATATTTGATGTCTGCCAAAAAGGTGAGCCTGTACTTGATTTTTTTTTTCGCTTGTAATTGCATCTTTTTTGTCTTTTGTTAGTTGTTATCTTTCAACATTTAAAGCCAGCAATAAAAAATTTATTCCTGGATCACCCCTGCCTCATGTCATCTCTCTAGTTCATTTCCACCCCGGACCTGTTGCCTGAAATCAGTGAATTTTTTTTTGTAGAAAATGGGTTGTGGTCTTTGCCTCTTTTACGGACAAACTGGCGGAAACGTTTTGAGGCAGGTATAGCCCAAAGCAGGTCGACAGTGTACTGGCCGATTCCCCACAGGGTGAGGTGCTATTTTACTGTTTTCGTTGGACCTACGCTGCCCAATCGGGTCTTTACGTAACACAGAATGCGTTTTATCCACCGACTTTCATGAAATGAACGACACGCTGGACGTGCAAAACACACTCTGTACTTCCACGGTGTAGGTCAGCATGAACAAGCTAACGTAAACGTTTAGCTTTTTTTTAATTCAAAACAATATAAGCGATTACGAACATGACAAAAACACTGAAGAAAAAGGAAACGGCATAAATTAAAAAAAAATCAGGTTTTCAGATGCAAAAAAAAAAGTCAAAACAATCATGTTGGTGAAATAATCGCAAACTATGCACGAAACCAAATTGTCGCAGGATTTCTATGACAAATGTCACGCGTGGCACGTGTGACATTTGCGTAGGGGACTCGCTGAATAGTAGAAAGACCCTTTCTTGAAATCTGTTTGGGGATCTGACACGAAGGTCTGTCCAGAAACCGAGAATCGCTGATCGGCACCTTGTAATTAAAGCCATTTTACACGCGTGTCGCTCGCGTAGCACGCGTCCAGCGCGTTTACATATCAATAGTTGTTGTCACTATACGTAAAAATGTGAAGCTCGATTTTTATAAAATGGCTTTAATAACAAGGTGCTGTTCAGCGTTTCTCGGTTTCTAGACAGACCTTCGCGTCATCTGCAAACAGATTTGAAGAAAGGATCTTTCAACTATGCCACGAGTCCCTTACGCAAAGTGATCGAACAGAAGAGTCAATTGTTATCGCCTGCAATTTTACAAAGGAAGCAACCACAACCCTCGCGTGGTACGCAAACGCCAGTTCGTTTTAATGCCGAGCTGAAGCTTACATCCCCCGGCGAAAAATATTCACATGGAAGAAGCACATCCGCCGCCCCACCCCCGCAGAGAATTTTGAAGACGACGACGTAGGTGACGCATTTTTCGTATTTTTGATTCCCACGTTGCTATGACCACCGTGACGTCTTTCACGAGCCGCGTTTGATTGGCTGTCCGTCCCCGTCGCAAGAGCGGCCGTTCGCAAGGAAAGTTTGGCAAAATACGGAGTTGCGAATTCGTCGAATTCGCACCGCAACTGCGTTGTGCCGCAAGAACGGCGTCGCAATTGCGAAATCGCAGGCAAATTCGCACCATGTGAATCAGGCATTAGTCTAATTATTCTAATTCGTGGACTATAAAGGCCTGTTCACACATACAGCGGAGCGCTACGAGCATAGCGCTAACCTCGCGCTTAGCGCGTGCTGACGGCAGCGATCACCAGCTTTGTATCGCACCGTCAAAACTTTTGCTCATAGCAGACGGTAAGTAGCTGACGACACGAGTGGAGCGCTACATCAGCGCTTCGCTGCATGTGAGAACCGGCCTTAAGTGACCCACTTATCCACTAACATAATGTTAAGTGTCTATCTTTTTCGGATAATACTACCAAAACTTGCCACTCCTATGTACACGCTTCAACCATGGTTATCTCATTGTGCGCGTTCAGCCTTGCGCCCCCTGCGTCTTTTACTTTTATGGACAATGTTACAGGCGAACAAGGCAGTGAGGACACGAAAGGTCTCAGATTGCATTATCACCAAAATTTACTCCTATTCATTGTCGGGTAACAGTCGTTTTCAGTTTTGTGGCGTAGCAAATAGTCGTGTACAAAAGGTTCACCGCAGAAGTTTATTGGAAACACGGTTGAACACCGATGGTTTTTGTGCACATATAAGCCACTTGCTTTGAGAAGATCTAGCTTTATTTTTATTCCACTCGCAGCGCGCTTATTTTAGACTGCTATTATTTTGTTTTTGTTCAAGAGCGCAGCTCTTATTAGGCGCTCGTTCCCGCGTTTTGCGGCGTCGGCATCGCCGTCGGCGTGAACGGAGGAGGAGGAGGAGAGGAAGGTACGGGGGAGTAGGGGAGGGTATGGGGGAGGAGAAGGGGAGGGTATGGAGGAGGGGGAGGGTAGTGTACGCAGGAGGAGGATGGGATGGCACGGAAGAGGAGGAAGGGAGAATATGGAGGAGGAGGATACGAAGGAGGAGGACACAGAAGAGGAGGAGGGGAGAATATGGAGGAGGAGGAGGATACGAAGGAGGAGGACACGGAAGGGGAGAGGAGAGTGGTCTATATTTTTACATTTATATTTCTTTCTCAAATCCTTTCGCACGGTTTTTATTGCCTTGAGATCGAGCCGTATCGCCACCGTGCGGCCGAAATTGGAAACATGCGAAAACGGGGATACCGCCGTGCTTCGTCCGCTACGGGCACACGTCCAAAAGCATGGATCTCGACGACACAAGCCCGGTTCCGGCTGAGCTCAGCCCTCCTCATTAAAAGCTTGTTGTTTTTGTTGTCGTTTCTCCCCACTAAAGGTTGTATTGCTTCAAACGTCTGGAAATGCAGCAAAGCGATTAGTATTAAGTCGGAAGCTTCCACAATCATAATGTTGTTTGTATACTACCGCTGGTCCCACACATTTTTGTTATCTCGCACAAACCATAGCTTTCATAAAACATTGAATGTTGATTGCAGCTGTGGTTTGATTAAAAAATTAGCCCGACTGATCGATACCCTTGAATAGACTAATCAATTGATAAATTTGTTTGTTGAATTTTCACCGGTCATATTGCATGAAAGACGTTAAAACTTATTTTTTTTTTTGCTATTTTACTATGTCATACATGGTATATTGCATGCCCATTTTAAATTTCACGTTGTGATGCCTACAGAAACATGAACACCGGAAGCCTTTTGAAGTGAACTAATTTTCAAATTATTATTTAAACATTATAATCACCCTAGATGATAACCAGAAGCGTGCTGAAGTAGTTTACAGTGCAAGCCTGTGCCCAGAAATAATTAAATACGTCATAAATATTAAAGCAGGTATTTTCACTTTTTCCGGTCCTTCCCAAGCACAAGAACTTGATTAAACGGCGAAAATGAATATCGTAATTAAAGCATCACTCGAATAATCGAAGAACTGCTTAGTCCCGATATGCGTTAGGTGAGGGCGGAGGGTGATCGGAAAGTTTCGGGAGAGTCGCGAGTCCTCATCAGTTAAAGAGCGTCGCTGCGGCCGATGCTGTCGGTGTCGTGGTGCGGGTAGTTTGTTGGTGTTGTAGAGTCTACTATGTTTGAATAGAATATTATTTAGCTAGAAATTTATAATATTAGCTTCTTAACATCCGCGGTCCTCCCCGAGGAAATAGAAGAGAGTGAACCCACACTACCGAGAAAAACTATTAACACGTCGTACGCTATTCTGTTGCTCGATTACACTCGTTTGTTCCACTCATGGCAGACATTTTAGAATAGTTTGTTTCACTTGTTGCAGCTGTCCTGCCGACGAACAGTTGATGGATAATAACTAGAAGAGACACTCGTTCCTCAACGCAACGTAGTAGAATTGTTCCGACTCCGAAAAACTTACCCACACCATGGCACAGTAAAGGGAAACATTGGCTGCAGCTGAACTCAACAGCACGGTAATTTCCAATGCCGAGCACTAACTTCTCTTCACGCTAAATATTTTTATTACCGTAAAAGCTAAAAGTTACAAAAGTAAATGCGTAGAACCTGCGGCTTCACAGCCCACAGTACCAGCATTATGCAATCCGGGTTGGAATTCATTGTTTTGTTGAAATCCCGCGCAGGTGAACCGATACATCTATTTTAAAAACAACAAATATATAACATAAATCGTGCAGTTTACCCGAGACAGGCATCCACCGTGGTGATCCATGCTTCCCAATCCACACGACTGATTGTTTGTGTTTAAGCCGTACGCTGGTAAAAGGATTCGATCTTCGCTGAAGCACCGAACGGTACCGCACCATTTTCCGCTAAAATTGTTTTCCCACCGGTACTGTGCGACAAAATAGACGCATGAACCTATGGGGAGCTCATGCTTCTACGGTCTACCCCCGCTTTGATGATGATGATAGCGCGACAGTAGCGCCACCTCTATCCTCCATGTCATTAGTTGCGTGCAGTACAGGCGAAGGCAACGCCAGGTGAGGGGAGAAGGGCAAGCACTAGAAAGGCTGAGGCAGAAGGGAGAAACCTCCTCTCCTCTCTAAGGTTCCTATAGTGCTCTCTCTCCTCTCGACCTCCAGTGCCCTCCTCTCCCGTTCCGCCTTCCTAGTACTCGCCCTCGCCTAGCGTTACCTTCGCCTGCACGGCACACAACTAGTGACACGGAGTATATGTCGATCTCGAGGCCAATATCGCACAATCAGAATACCCCAAGAGCTGCGCTCTAATTTCGCACTACACAGATTTGTAAACGCCTTTCATTTCTTTAGTAAGAAAACGAGAGAAAATACTTTACAAAAAACACGTCATCCGCACACGTAATATATTTTTTATATCATAACTGCTGAGGAACGAATATAATTCGACTAACTGAAATGTCTACATTCTGGAGCTCGGGAGAATCAATCGCTGCAATCTTTGGGGGGCGCTCGGCGAATGGCGGGGTTGATTATTATTCGTATTATTCAAGGGCGGATATGTATTCCATATTATTTTTAATCTTATCACAAAAATCGGAAAATAATTTTCCTTCCTCATAACGAAGTTAGTAACCGTGAGAAAGCGGCTTTCGCCTTTTGGTGACTATTCGGCGTATAAAAAAAAAAGAAGAAAAAAACAAGAAAAAAAAACGATCAGTTTAGGGTGGTGGGATGAAGGTTTCGGGCATTTGGTGCGTAACTTCCGGTAACACGTTTCTTGATTTTGCGGCTGACTGTTGTTCCATTCGCGACGCAACTTGATTAGAAACCTGTAAGAAAACAAAAATTAATTGTTTTGAAATTTCTGACAATAATTTCGTGAGCTTATTGCACCCTTTTACTCAAGAAACCAACGGCCTTTACTTCATGATGTCAAAAATTAGCCATCCACGTCCAAGATTTTATCTAAACTCAGAAAGTATATCGGTTTGAAAAAAAATAAAAAATAAATAAATAAGAAAACAGCCCGAAAAGCAATGCATTGTGAACGCTGAGTAAAACTCTCTTTCTTCGAACAATTAAACAAACCCATCGACTGAACTCGTTCAACCCGACCCTGCCAGTTTGTCTGTGCGCGCTGTCGAAATGTACATTCATAGATTTTTTTTTTTTTTTTTCCTGTTTAGATATCGCTTCAGAAATACATATCCACTTCGAATCGTCATGAACAACCTTGACCAATGATTAATCTGACTAATTCACTTTTAATAAATATAAAAATGTCAAATTGGACGTTTAGTGTTTATGCAGCGCAGTGTTGTACACGTTCCTCAAAAAGAGGAACGGAAGCTCGTTCCTTTTTTTTATTTTTGGAACGCGTTCCCGTTACAAGTTCCATCTGTGAGAAAGGAACTTGTTCCCGTTACAGTTAAAAAAATGAGACGTATCGTTACATATACGTTACATTTGTATTTAGCTAATTACTATATTTAGTTAGATCAAAGTTTAATTTTTTTTATCGATCTCAAAAAATGGCAACATACGAATTTGAATGCCGTGATGGAAGCACATAAAGAGAAAATAGTCAGAGTGCAGGCGAGCTGGTGTAAGTTGAACATGATTGTAAACCTGAGACTGGGGCAGAAAGATAACACAACAGAAGGTAGTAAAAGAGGAAGCAACGTCTCAAACTCAGCTGAAAAGTTTATTTCGAACACGCTTTATATACCCCATCTCCAATGCCGTCTCTACAAAAAAAAAAAAACAACACACACACACACACACACACATGACAAGAGGACAATGACACTTCGGTAAACCTTCTCTTATCTCCCTTGACCTTCGCTGTGGGACACTCACACAAAGGGACACTCACACAAAGGGACACTCACACAAAGATGGGGTATATAAGGCGTGTTCGAAATAAACTTTTCAGCTGAGCTTGAGACGTTGCCTCCTCTTTTACTACCTTCTGTTGTGTTCTCTTTCTGCCCCAGTCTCAGGTTTACAATCATGTTCACATAAAGAGGAAAGACAACAAGCGGAAGCAGGGCTCCATTCGTTGTTATATTCACTTTTAAAAATCTCAGCGTTTTGCCCTATTCATGTTTGTGGTGGGCTATGCAGACAAGCCAAATGTACTGTTAAAACAACCTTACACGTTTCAATCTAACGAAGTCCTGTGTTCGAACTGAACAACAGTTGCTTCTCGATGTTGCTGTCCGTAAGACAAGCAAGTGAAAAAGAGTGTAGGACGTTTGGAAGGTCAGTCTTGAAAACTACCAGTCTTTTTTTCGTGAAGGTCGGATTTGTTGTTCAATTTGAAGGTGAGAGAAGAGGGGAGGGAATGAAGGATAATTTTTGTGCATCTGGGCAATGTTTGGGATGCTATGGTGCATTTGTTTTCTGGTAATCTGTTCTTTTGGTATAACTAGATTTTTGTTTTGTAGAAGTTTAGTGATGGTTGTAGTCGGCCTTAGATTTCTGGGTGTATCATGATTCGTGGAAGCAAGGAAAGTAGCTGAGTTTGAGACATCCTTTTTCTGCCTTTTCCTTCGACTAAATGTTTTGATTTCTGTACTGCTGTCTTGGGCACTGAAAAGAGAATCAATGCCCACTAGCCCTCCTGCGCTCTACTGTTAGCAAGCGAGGACCCCACAAAATAAACCTTAAGTAATAAAACATTTAACGAGATCCTGCTGTCCGTAAATATAATATTTTTATACTTTTTTTTTATTGTCCTGTTAGAAGTAAAATAAAAATTACCCCACTGGACAAAGCAAAAGGAACGCCGTTCCTTTTTTCGTTCCAGTAAAAATGTAACGACTTCCCGTTCCAGTTCCACCGATACAAAATGGAACGGCGGCGTTCCTTCGTTTCTCCTAAAAGGAACGCGTTCCAGGAACGCCGTTCCGTACAACACTGATGCAGCGTAATCTCAGTCTGCCAGGATGGGGCGACGCTCGTGTACACTGTAGGTGAGCAATTTTGCCAGTGCAGTACCACTCGAAAATCAGTTGTGTACGCTGAGGCATGTAATTTACTCCAAACGGGTAGGTATGAAACCGTTTTCTGAAATATTGAAAAAAAAAAAAAAAAAAAAACCTTTCCTTAATTACAAGTTACAAAATCTGTAAAGTTGCAGATAAAAACTAATTTTCTTACGAACACGCATATTGACTTCTTTATATAAAAACATCACATTGGCCATTTTCATATCATACATAATCCTTGTCCTAGGCCAGGGGTGGCCAGGCTGACCCGGCTTAAGAGCCGGAAACGAAACCACGAAACTTCAAAGAGCCGGCTGGAATACAAAAGGCAGAAAGAGGGGAGGGAGGGGGGGGGGGGGGGGGGGGGGCAAGTTTTGTCTAGAACAATAAACGATAGTTGGTCTTTTTTCCATCTATCCGAGTCAAAAACAGTCCAACTGTACGTAACGTAGCAGCCGCTCAAGACTACCAAACCGCAACCTGTCTTTCGATTTAAAACACGTTCCATTTCTCTTTTTGGGAAAAGTGCTCATGGGACCGGGAGGGACGCGGCGGAGTGTGTGTGTGTGTGTGTGGGGGGGGGGGGGGGGGGGGGGGGGGGGGGCGGGGGGGGCAGGTTACCACTTTAATTTTAACTTTACACGCACTTTAAAACCCGAAGAGTCGCTGCTTGACCACCCCTGTTCTAGGCCGTTGGGAAGTTCAGTAAAATTAAAACAAACAAAAAATGGAAGGAGAAGCGAAAGTATGACTTAATTCTTTTTTTTTTCGTTTTTGTTTTGTAGAATCAGACGCATCATGACGGCTATTTGATTTTTTACATTAAAATGCTTTAAATATTATATTCCCGAAGAAAGCTTGAGTGTTTCATTTTTAAATTTTAATTGGTTTGGTTTTTTGTGTTTTTTTTTAAGATACTTTTCTCAAGCTAATTAGCCACATAGCGTCACATTCGACGTAAATACAGAACCGTAGCGCTCCAGATAGTTTTGTGATACCTTAAATGTGGGTTGCGTTCAGAAACCACACATGGTAGGTTATTGTTAAATCGTAAAAGTTGACGCGATGTCTATTCCAACTCAGCAAGTCCACTGGAAGTAAATACAAGCGCGGTGAATCATTGCAAAATATAGGAATGCAACAGGTTCAAAAATAACCTTCTGAATTGCAAACACCTAGCTGGCATAAATAGAGAACTAGGAAGTTCGGAAAATTCGCATAAACCCCCAAAAAGTTAATCAATTTGTAAAAAAAATTAAGAAAAACCACATTAAAATGTTTATTCAGCCAAGTTTAGCATGTTAATTTTTGTTTCACTAAGTTTTCTCTTTTTTTTTTTTTTAACGTTAGAAACACACACAGCAATGCACAAATATTAACGAAAAAAAAATAGTAAAGGTTACCGTATCTTCCGTTCCGTTCACTCCGTTTCCAATGAATCTGGTAGGCTTGAATGTCGAGAACACCCTGCTTCTCAGCGTTGTTCTCAGACTTCGAACCTTTGTAGCCGAAGTTTCGAATGAAGTCGTCTCGACAGATGAACTCGGAGACTGCTGAGCCAAACATGAGGAATGCCCGTTATACTTTCCTCCACTCCCAAAGACATCTGAGTTAGAGCGTAGCGCGTTGCATAATACCATGGACCTTAGATAAACTACAGGCCTAAACACTTCGACGCTTTCCGCCCTCGTAAATATTGTCAGCTTAAGCGGCGCTAATGAAAAAGTAAAAAAGAAAGAAAATATAATTAAAAATACCTTAAAGCTAAAAAGGCCACTAAAAAAAACATGCTTTTTTTATAGTTTGATTGGGACACGCGTGTCAAACAAAAAAAGATTTTACGCGAAAAACAAAAAAAGAGTGAAAGCTGTTTACAACTCCCTGTAACGCCGAATTAGAGCGCAGCTCTTGAGGAGGAGGAGGGAAGGGTACTGGGGGGGGGGGGGGGGGGTCACGTGACCTAGGGGGCCACATGACGATGACGATGCCGATGACGTCATCAGTAACGATGACGATGCGGAACCGATGACGTCATCAGTGACGTCACTGATGACGTCATCAGTGATGATGATGACGATGACGATGCTGATGCCGGTGACGTCATCAGTGATGATGACGATGTGGATGCCGGTGACGTCATCAGTGACGTCACTGATGACGTCATCGGGGGTCACGTGACCTCGAGGGGGGTCACGTGACTTGGGAAGACACGTGACTTTGGGTGTCACGTGACCTTGGGGGTCACGTGACCCTGGGTAGAGGTCACGTGACCTCTGGGGTCACGTGACCTTGGGGTGACCTTGTGGGTCACGTGACCTTGGGATGACCTTGGGGTCACGTGACCTTGGGGTGACCTTGGTTACGCCGACGGCGACGCCTCTCAAGCCGGGAACGGGCCCCTAAGAGCTGCACTCTAAAAAAACGGTGCGAGGTTTATCTTAAAATTTGCGCGCAAAGTCCGTGACGTCACGGAATGGTCATACATTTTCTCCACCTCAACGTGATGGCAAAGCCGCGCCAGCTCTCCTCCACGCGCCCGAAATGCCGAGAGAGAAAACAAGTGGAAAGGAAGTGACTGCCGACTAAACTAAATCGCGTCTTACGCCGTCAATATTGCTCTAAAAATTGGTTTCCAGAAAAAAAAATTCTTTTCAGTGGCCCTTTAAGTTTTTTATAACCTTTTTTTTTAAGTAGATCTAGCCCTCTTCACGCGTCGTTTTAATTATTCCGAAATTATATGACCACTAGGACCCAAGTGTCGATGGCGTTTCTAATCGTCCATCTTTTTGACGCGTCCGTACACGCATCCTCTGGACGCATCAGCGATTTTCCTCATGATGGCTTCTGCGAAGCCATGTCCATTTGTTACATTTTCCTGGCGATCTGCTTGTTGACTCCTTACGTCCGGTGCTTCAATTTTACCCTAAAAAGACCCTCCCATGACGAAAATGTTCCAGACCAGGCAGTCAAGGGCATTGGAAAGTCTTGCTTCGTATGTTTAGACAGCCTTGATATAGGTACGCCTCAACGGGTGACCGGTCGCTTAGTTGTAGAGGAAAAATTTGGCCAGTGCAGTACAACCGCTAACCTGGGATTTTTAATGTGCATCACGCAGTAGTGATCACACGAACGCGTGGCGGTACGAAACTCACCCAGATCGAAACGGGCGGGGGTGGTGGGGATCGAACCCAGGAGGTTCACAGCGCAAGCTTCCGCTCCATGCTCCGAGCTGAGACGCGTTAGCCCACTCGGGCACAGAGCCGTAGAAATACCTTCTAAAAGGAGGATTTAAACAAGGAACGCGTGTTGTCAAGTTCCTGCCTCCCACCAAACAGCAAAGAACCTTTTTGGGATAGTGGTGAAGGGAGTGCCGTAATCGAATTTGTAGTTTAAGTGCACCTTTCTGAGAGACTACACCGTAGCACTATTTGAATATTTAACGATACGCGGCCTTTTTGTTTGACCCGCAGATCCGAATGAGAATATGAGTCATCTAGAGGCGAAAAGGTGAAAAGGAGAAATAGCAAGCTCGCAACCTTTCGAATGTGCAACGAAATACGGCGAGACCCGGCGGTGCTACGTTCTTGGACTCTTTCGCGGCCCGCTTTCGGAGACTCAAAACCAGACGGGGGCAATGACCGTCAGCATGCCCAGTGTATACTTACGTTCGAGACTCTGGCCTCGGGTCCGGTCCTTCGACAAGAAGCGCAGTGACGCGTGACGCCGTTCAAGAGACGTTCGTCCACCGGTTCAGGCTGACGACCTGAAAGAGGCGGTGGACGGATCATCTGTACTTTCAGACTGATCGAGTTTTGGCCAATCTATAGGTTATTGGGACATATCTTGAACAGTACCGTGGAATGCAAGTGAGTGCAAACACGGCATAAGTTGTGCCTCTTCAAAAACAAGAACTCTGTAGTTATTGACAACTTCAGGAACGTAGGTCGTTTCTTGAGTTTTCAACGACACGTTTCATATTTAATCGAAATGACATCAAGGTTCGGCGGAGTTGAACGTAATCAAGGTGATACCAAAATGTTCTTAAATGATAAAAAGGAAAAAGCGATATACCTGTAAGAACACTGATGATGGAGCCTAAGACAAGAACGATGATAACTCCAAGGAGGCTGTACCAGAGATAAGAAAGCCTGTAGATGTACTCTATCTGGAAACTAAAGATCCACGAAATAGAAAAAATTAGGACACTGCGTAATTTGATATTAACGTGGTTTACAAAAAAACACCCCAAAGGGATTTTTTTTTCTAAAGAAAGCTAGAAAAGCGATAGTGTATAGTTCGCACAAGTAAAATACTCTAAGGGCACACGCTTAAGCAACACACGAATCAGGAAAGTCGGAAACAATCCATGGCCGCGCCTAACTCCCTTCCCCCCCCCCTTTTTTTTTTTTTTTTCTTCTTCAACGAGCGTATATATATTTAATTGCATTTAGCTTGAACAAAAAAAAAAAAAAAAGACTAAATTAGTTTTTTTTTTTTTTTTTAGAGTGGGTTTGCGTACATTAACGAAACAGTACATTATTTATATTGTAGTCAGCGTAATACAAGTATATCATTATGCAGACAAGTAGAGAGAGTACACCTTTAACTGACCATTTAAAAGATGGTGTTTTACTTTCTCTTCAAGATACTACGAAATATCTGTAACCATGATCAACAAACGGCATTCGCTGGCAGTTGTCTCAAACGCCATGAGTGCATATCACCTACTGTTTCGAGAGTGTATTATCAAAACATAATTCTCAAGATATTCCGCTCAATTTCTACTTCCAGAGACGATTGCAAGCGAATTGCTGTGTGTATGTTTATGCAGCCGGAAGTTAGTCTGCCTCAGTGGGCGTCTGGTTTTTCAGCTGTAGATGAGCAATTTAGCCAGTGCGGTACAACCGCTAGCCTGGGGTCTTTAACGTGCACCACGCTGTAGTGATACACGACCGCACGCAGGTACGATGCTCATTCAAATCGAGACGATTGGGTAGCAAACTATTTTCGTCGATTTGTTTACTTCTCAGCCGTGTCATAGGTACGTCTCATGGATAACTCAAAATGTCATATAAAGATTGTTGATTGATGGACAATATTTTAACGGCCGTACATTGCCTAATATCTTCGCAGCCCCCTATTTAAACTTTTTTTTTTCACTGCATTTTTTAAGGCAATGGAAAGCCGGGGGAGGGGGGAAGTCAACTTTATCGTTTGGGAGAAATAGGGTTCACCCAAAGTGTTAGGCTTGTCACGACAAAATTCGAGAACTACCGTCCTCCAATATGAGAAAGCTCTCTTGCGTAGCCTATTCCTATGATAACATCAAGATGACGTCCATTATTTTCAGGGGCCGAATGAGAGGTCAGGTTTGGTGAGGGGGGCGGAGGGAGGAAGGGGAAGAGACATTTGACCTGGATTCTGCAGAGAGATAGGCGTTGCCCAAGTCAATATTGTTCACCTAATAGTTGCCATTCCACCAAAACTGAACGTTTCTTCCTAGAAAAAAAAATGTTGGTGTATGACATTTCTTCGTTAAAAAAGTCGTACTCGGGAGGCTTAGAACCCCCCCCCCCCCCCCCCCCAACACCCTCTTTTTAAATCCGCCCCTGGTTCTTTTCAACGACCTGACCCACCAGTCACGTCAAATAGATTAGCTTACTTATGAGCATCAACGTCCGCGCTGGGCAAGGTGGCGTGTTCGGCTCCCGTGACGTTGAGGTAAAGGTCGGTGCATCCATCAACAAACACCGAAGGCCTTGGGTGCATTGGCCTCCGAATGTAGGCACCCACAGTGATCCAGGACAGGGTCGCCATGGCTGTTATCATGCCCACGATGGCTCCCTGTGCTTGCCAGGACGTCCGGAACACCAGAAATGCACGCCACACCGGATGCATGAAAGTTTCATACTTCCTCCAATTCAACGCGAACATACCAGGTTTGTGCAGGAATGCGTATTGATCAATGTGTCTATTTGTCCAGTTTGTTAGACGAGCAATAGGATCTGCTTCCGAAGAAGCTAGGAAAACCTCGAAAACTGTACTGTGCCTAGACATTGTCTAGAGACGATAACCTCTATCCCTATTTTCCGTATTGTCTCTGGACAATGTTCGGGACAAATTCATTGTCTAGTGACGACTTCCAGGCCACGAAGATCGATTCACCCTAAACAGTAGGCTGTATCAGACTTCACAGTGATGGAAAAGTTCTTGCTCCACAAAACACTCAAGATCGCTGTAAACGACTTGATGTATTCGACACTGCAGGCGACGGTACCGAAAGTAACATTCATTATTTCCCTATTTAAAAGTAGCATTGTGTGTTTATACTCACGAGCGCATTGGCAAAGGGTACAAATATTCCCAGGGTGAACACTCCTACGAGGGGTCCACCCACGATGCCGAGGACGGACAGTGCAGCCTGTGGTAAGCGATAGAGAATTTCTCAGCTTAGTTTTCCAGTTACCGTTTTTTTTCCTACGTACCAGCAACTGTAACAAGAGAGTTAATCATTTTCGCTCTGTTTGACCCCTTAAAAAGGTAGCATTTTTTTTTTTAAATAACTGAAATGTACACAAACGTGCGAAGCATTACTGTAATATCTGTTCGGTTCGTGTCTGAAAAGCATACAAAATAGCATTTCTTAGGAACAGGGGGAATAAAGGGGGACATAGTAGCCTTGCTCCAGGTTTACTATGTCTATCTTAAACCATCTCGGTTGTACTCTCGCTTTAGTTTGAAATTTTTTTACTATATTCTCCGACACTCAATCACTATAGATATCGTGCTATACTGACTCGAACACCAGGATTATGCAGTTCCCGAAGCTGACTTTGAAGTCAACTTCAAAGTCACCCCAACACACGGTGTGGCCCCAACACACGGTATACAAAGGGTAAACAAGTGTGTACAAGTTGCCCAACACCGACATCGATCACCTAAGTATGAAGAAAACTAGCAAATTCGCGTGCGCCTTTCGACAAAAAACAAAGAAAGTAAAAATAAAAAAAAAATCATTGATTATCGTTACTATGGAAAATGAACACCTCCATCCCCCCCCCCCCCCCCCCCCCCCCCCGCCTCCAAAAAAAAAAAAATCGTCCATAATGTGAGTTGTCCATAATAACTAATCCAGGTCAAAACAGAAATATTGTTTAGCAAGCTCAGGGAACGACTGCGTTTTCTATAGCAAAACATGCACGAGATGTAGGGCTTCTTTTTTTAAGGGGCGCAGGCCTTATCTCAAGACCGGCAACCAACAATGGGGTGTGCACTGTGATTCCGTTGATTCACTAATATGTTTTCTTATATTTTGGGACTTAGTTTTGAAAACTGGTGTTCATAATAACGAGACACAAACACATGCATTTCCCTAGTTCAGTCCCAAAGTAGTCGTCCAGTCCGGCTTCAGGGCGCTGCCATCTTGCCTGTCTGGGGTGCGCTTGGACCAGTCATAATCCGATTACGAAGCCTTGCTAAGGCGTCGTAATCGGATTATGGCCGCTCCCGAAAGCGCACCCCACTGAGGAAGATGGCGGCGCCCTGAGACCGGACTTGCAAACGTGTATAGTAACGCGGCAGGATTGTATGGCGACCTAACGGCCGAAAACGTTTCGTCCATATCGATATCTATAGTAATAGGGTACATAATATTTTGACAGCAACATGCAACGCAAAAACAAAAAAAAAAAAACAACATGTGATACCTATTTTTCTAGGTGGTTGACAAATCTCCCAATATATATATATATATATATTTTTATTTTTTATTTTGAACAATGCAATAGTTTTTTATACAAATTTGATTGAATTTTAGACCACTTCTCCATCCACCCAACGAGCTGGCCGTGTCTGAAAACGCGTTTATGACATCATCAAGCCGAGCTCTTTCGCGTCTTATCAACCTCCTTTCACGTTGATAACCGCTGCACTGGATACACGAGCTTCGAAGGATAATTATTACACCGGATTAAGTTAGAGTTCTGTCATAGTTGCCCAAAACACCATATGCAAACTAAGTAAATTAAAAATTAGTTTTCTTTTTCTTCTTTTTGTGAATAAAAGAACTCTCCCAAAAAAACTGTGAGACATTCTATAAATACTATTGCCACAGACAGATTAATTAGGAAACGCAGGGCTTGACCTATTACACGTTTTTGCTTTTCGCTTTGCGATTGGTTCTTATTGATTTCGCTTCGTGATTGGCTTCGTGACTGGATAAGATGGGGCCTTTCTAGTGATGCGCGACAGCGACATACTCACCTGAAGAACGTCTCCCATTTGCTGGGCCACATATACCATGACGACGACGATCACACCAAACACAACAGCTGCAGCAAAACCAAAAATGGATGTTAAAAGAAGTTTATACTCAAACGTAACGTCGACGGGCGCGGCGTAGCGCAGTGCGCACTGATACTGATTGGCCGCTGATATCGAGTTCCTGGTTGCCGGCCAATGAAAGGCGCGCGTTCTGCGCTACGCTGCGTTCACTGCACTCAACGTCGGAGTATAAACAGCCCTTTAAAGTAGCACACATCGCGGAAGTAAATTCCACCAAAGAATGAAAACATCCCAAAAAGAGCTCTCAGTTTGTCGTACCTATATATAGCGCAAAGTCTCTACACGAGGTGTAGTCCACACTGTGCGTGCGTTCTCGAGGCCTGACAAGAACATCATTCGGTATAGACCAGTGTCTGCTCTGTTCTATGGGCGCCGCCATGTCTGTTTATGCTAACGTCATGACAGAGCAGGGGGGCTGCGCTTTTTGCGAGACTCCGTTTTCTTTTTTTAGAAACTTTCGCACATATCGTAGTCCAAGAACGTCAGAAACTTATAGTCACGAAGCTCCAAGAACAACACCAATGACAAGAGTGCCGTTAAAAAAAAAAAATTGTTTTGTGCCTAGCCCTTCTCTTCACAAAAGCCTGCGTTTGAAATTATTCGTTTCCATTTTTATCGCTGGGGCTAGGATTACAGCCACTGGCGTGTAGATATATATAACCCGCTCTCTGCCATAGGAAGAAGCAGGCGATCGCCACACCTGCCTTTTAAACCCGCTATGCCAAATCTCAAAAAAAAAAAAAAAAATCTTTCATGATATGGATGATTACGGCGGCGAAGAAAATGATAATGACGATTATTTCAAAGATCGCCGTTATTTGAACACAATGTCCTGCAGAGCATCTCAAGAACGCCCTCACTGAGAATTTGCAGGGTGATGGCAGATGCTCGATCTCCGAGATCAGGCTTGATGTACGTCTTGATGATGTCCTGCAGCGTCGTCGTTGCCAGGGAGGCAAGACTGGCAGACACGCCACTTGAAAATAACCAACAAACAAATCGTGATTAATTCTGTCTATACTCTCAGTCAAATAATGATAGTGTGAACTCATTACCTAAGGCCACCACTAAAGATTCCGGACACAATCAGTCCTGGGACACCGGGATAGCTTCCAAAAATGTCCATCACGTGAAGTGGCACCAACTGTAAAAAGAAGAAATATATATATATTTCTTCTTTCTGTTTGTTTCTGTTTGGAAAAGCAGGCTCGACGAGAGAGCCTGCTTTTCCAAACTACGACATCATCCATTCAGGACTTCACTGCCTCCATGACAGAACGTTTTCAACGCTTGGAGTCTCGATTCCCTGAACTCGAGGAGCAGCGCACCGCAGGCCCCCCGGTACAGAACGCTACCCGACTTTCAACCCTGCGTCTTAAGCCATCGACATTTGACGGTACCGTTCCTTGGGCGCCTTACGTATCCCAGTTCAACCTCATTGCTGACGCTAACCAATGGTCTCCGGCTCAAAAGGCACAAGCCTTGGCCGCCCATCTAACCGGACCAGCTTTGACAGTACTACACTACCTACCACCCGACACCCGCCATTCCTACGAAGCCTTGGTCGCGGCACTGAACGAGCGCTACGGGGAAGGACCCCTCCGCTTTTTTCATCACGCCCAACTTCGCAACCGTCGTCAGTCTGCAACCGAGACAGTTTCTCAAGTCGCCGACGACATCGAGCGCCTCGCCCATCTTGCATTTCCTGGTTGCCCACAATATGTATATTGCTACTTAGAAGAAGAAAAAGAGGGCGCCTGAAAAATGGCTAGAGCGCGCGACAGCTCGAGCTGAGCCCGGCAGTTCGAAATAAAAGTCGACCGCCAGAGGCTGACTCCTGGACTACTCCTTCAACAACAACACCCTAACACTTTGGTGGATGTGCGTCCCCGCCCCTCACACTCATGAAGCTCAACACTTCTCCCAAGTCTGAAGCAGCTTGCCCTAACAACGTAATAGAGTATGTAAATAGTGTCAGTGACTCATACTGTGACCCTGACATCTTTTCTGAATGATCATCATAACTCCTTCAAGTTGCTTCGGAAAAACGTTAGCACTGATTTGCCACCAGAGCAGCAGGATACATATACAAGCTATTATGCTCCTTCGTTGATTTTTTTATTTTTTATTTTAGCTCTCGACTTCTGGCTCAGACATCTGCGGTTCAACACACTATCGATGCTGGAAAAGGAAACCCCATACGCAGCCGTGCGTATCGAGTCTCACGTTCAGAACGAGGAGTAATGCCGAGGCACGTGAGTGACATGCTACAACAAAATAGAATTGAAGAATCCGCAAGTCCATGGTCTTCTCCCGCAGTACTCGTGGAAAAAAAAGATGGTACATGGCATTTTTGTGTTGACTACAGACGACTCAACAAAATTACCAAACAGTATGTTTATACCTTTCCCCGAATTAATGATGCCCTTGATACACTACATGACGCCAACTATTTCTCGTCGATAAACATGCGTTCGAGCTACTGGGAAATCGGCGTTGACGAAAAAGATCGAGAAAAGCAGCGTTCGGTACGCCCGATGGACTTTACCAGTTTCGAGTCATGCCTTTTGGCTTATGCAATGCTCCTGCAACTTTCGAACGTATGATGGACTCGCAACTCCGCAGGTTGCGCTGGACAACCTGTCTGTGTTACCTGGATGGCGTTGTCAACTTTTCGTCCACTTTTCCCGAACACCTATCTCGATTTACAATTGTTTTAGAATGCTTCCGAAACGCCGGCCTTCAACTCAACTCTAAAAAGTGTCGTTTTGGTACAGAAGAAATCAAAATTAATTCTTGGACATGTCGTCAGCCGTCACGGATTATCACCAGACCCAGAGAAACTCCACGCTTTTACGGACTTTCCACGCCCCGCAACAGTTAATTGCATTATAATTAAGGCACTGCGTTCATTTCTTGGACTCTGTTCATATTTCCGACCATTTATTCGCGGATTTGCAGCCATTTCTGCTCCTTTAAACTCTCACCTTAAGACAAATAGACCGTTCGTATGGTCTCAAGATCATTAGTATGCATTCGCAACCGCCAAGACCACACTGACCACCAAGCTAGTCTTCGCCCATTTTTACCCTGGTCTTAATATCGAAATTCACACTGATGCTAGCGGTTATGGACTTGGTGCTGTACTGATGCAGAAGCAAGGCGCTCGAAAACAGGTTGTCGCATATGCAAGCCGAACTTTGTCTAACGCAAAGATGAATTGCATCATCACTGAAAAAGAATGCATGCCTTGCCGTAATGTGGGCAATCAGCAAGTATAGACCTTATATATTTTGGCGTCCGTTTAAAGTGGCTACTGACCGCCACGCTTTGTGTTGTATGGAACTTGAAAGATCCTTCCGGACGTCTGGAACGATGGGCACTAAAACTCCAAGAATACGACGTCTCCATATTCCATAAGTCTGGGAAACAACTCGACGCGCCTGACTGCTTATCTCAAAGTCCCATCTTACCATCCCCACACTCTAAAAAAAGGCCATGCGTCGGCTTTCCTGCATGACACTTGGAGAGCCAATCACCGCAACTTACGGAGGCAATTCAGCGAATGACGATGCCGAAACATATGTTTAGACCAAAAAACGCAGTCTGAGTTGTGACATTAAGCAATGCAAGCGTGACGTTTTTTATTACTTAATGTCACAACTCAGACTGCGTTTTTTAGTCTAAACATATGTTTCGGCATCGTCATTTGCTGAGATGCCTTTGTAAGTTGCGGTGATTGGCTGTCCGAGTGTTGTGCGGGAAAGCAGACGCACGGGCTTTTTTCAGAGTGAGAAACTCCCTCTTCTGCCGCTGCCGCAATTGCTTTGACCTCTACACTCTAAAAAAAGCCCGTGAGTCTGCTTTCCCGCACAACACTCGGAGAGCCAATCACCGCAACTTAGGGAGGCAGCTCAGCGAATGACAATGCCGAAACATATGTTTTGACCAAAAAAATGCAGTTTGAGTTGGGACATTAACCAATGCAAGCGTGACGTTTGGCATTGCTTAATGTCACAACTCAGACTGCGTTTTTTGGTCTAAACATATGTTTCGGCATTGTCATTCGCTGAGCTGCCCCCCTAAGTTGCGGTGATTGGCTCTGCAGGTGTTGTGCGTGAAAGTAGACGCACAAACATTTTTTAGAGTGTAGTTTGTATTTGGTCCTGGAACAAAAAAGAGACCCATACTTGCAACAGATTTTCAACTGTCTTAACAAAACCCACGTCACCCGCCAGGAACAACGGCTTGTTGACCCCAACAAAATGCAGAATAACGTACTGAATCGTCGCAACAATGACCCGCATGTTCCTACTCTGTTCTTTGTTGTTCCAAGACATCCCCGACCTGATATCTTAGGTTCTCTAAAAAAATGATCCCACAGTTGGACACTTGGCTTTATTAAAACTTATTGCGCATGTGCTTAATACCTTCTAGTGGCACGGCATGTACACTCTCAAAAAAGCCCGTGCGTCCACTTTCCCGCACAACACTCGGAGAACCAATCAACGCAACTTACGGAGGCAGCTCAGCGAATGACGATGCCGAAACATATGTTTAGACCAAAAAACGCAGTCTGAATTGTGACATTAAGCAATGCAAGCGTTACGTTTTGCATTGCTTAATGTCACAACTCAGACTGCGTTTTTTTGGTACATATGTTTCGGCATCGTCATCCGCTGAGCTGCCTCCGTAAGTTACGGTGAATGGCTCTCCGAGTGTTTTGCGGGAAAGTGGACGCACGGGCTTTTGTTAGAGTGAACCGCGACATCCCCAAGTACGCAGCAAGATGCGTCCAATGTCAGCGACGAAAAAGGCCAACGACCGCACCAGCTGGACTTCCTCTCGATCCACCCCACTGCCCATTTCAACGCATCGGTGTCGACCTGTTGGGGCCCCTTACTCTTAAACACAACGGTGACCGCTGGGTCATTGTTGCCAGGGCCATTTGTTATGTTATGCAGAGACCAACTGCCTTACCGTCCGGAAATTCATACGAAGTCACCACGTTTCCCTTGCACAACATCATTTTGCGACACGGCCCCCTCGTCAGATACTCAGCGATTGAGAAAGGGTATTTCTTACCCAGGTGATACAGAAACTATTACATCTTTGTGGAACCATTCATAGATTGACAACAGCATATCATCCACAAACAAATGGCTTGGTGGAACGTTTTATTCGCACCATTGTCAATATAATTACCATGTACGTCCAGTCTGACCAACGCCAATCGAATGCTGTCCTTCCGTTCCTTACTTAAGCATACAACACTGTCGTTCAAGACACTCACGGCCGTTCTCCATTTTATCTTCTCCATAATCGCCCTCTTACCACATTCTTGGGCACGCTCCTACATTACCGTCAAAATGACAAACTTCCCGACACTGTAGCACATCTCGTGTGTCGTGCTGAAGAAGCGCGCCAGCCTTTCCGGCTACGCACACGAACATCCCAGCAACGCCAATGCCGACGGTATAACAAGACCCACCGCCTAAATAGCCGACCTTGTTTTACTCTGGGCGCCTCACCGTCACCAGGGCCTGGCTACCGTGCATCAACAGCACGGCGCTACTGGCCGACGCTGAGCAACCTCCGATATAGTCCACGTCGCCCGCATGAAGCCCTACACTTCCCGACCCACCGCATAAACCACCGCCACCCTCGTTAATTAAAAAAACTAGGCTTGTTGCAGTTGGGATGACCGCGAAAAAAAAGAAAGGGGGGGGGGGGGGGAGGTAATGTTACTTAGAGGAAGAGAAAGAGGGCGCCTGAAAAATGGCTAGGGCGCGCGACAGTGAGCCCGGCAATTCCAAATAAAAGCCGACCGCCAGAGGATGACTCCTGGGCTATGCTTCTTCAACAATAGCACCATAACAATATATATATGAATATAGCAATATAGCTATATTCATAACAATATATATATTATATATGATTATACAATATAGCATGAACTAGCTCAGTTAACTGAGCTAGTTCATGAACTTTCAAATACAATCAATGACAGGAGCCAGACTTAATTTTTCTTGACTTTTCGAAAGCGCTTGACCGAGTATCGCACCATAAACTTCTCTTCAAACGTTCCACTATTGTTAAAAATGATCAGTTTGTGAACTGGATACCGTCCTACCTATTTAATAGGACGCAGTATGTATCAATTCAAGATGAAACGTTTACTCCCCTTCGATTTCCCCGCGTGCAGAATCCCTGTCGCAAAATTAGCCCCACTTTCGAAAGCCCCGCGTTCAATTACCCCGTCCGTCCCGTATTCCCCGCGTGCCAAAAGCCCCGCGTGCCAAAAGCCCCGCGTGCCAAAAGCCCCGCGTGCCAAAAGTCCCGCGTGCCAAAAGCCCCGTGTGCCAAAAGCCTCGTGCTCACTGCCCCGTACCCCCCTCTTCGCGCTGCAACCAGCATTGTTCCATGTCTTAACTTAATCTGTTAAACGCCTACTAAGGGTCTTTCTTACCAAAGAGGTTAGAACGACGAACAAGTGGCCAAAATCATATATTTGCATCACCTGCAATGAACTCAGCTGTCATAGAGAGGTACTCAAACGCAGAGTTATGAACTCTATCTACCTAGACAAATGCAAATATATATATATTTTTTAGAACGACGTAAGAAGAATGGAACATGATGTTAGGTGCTGCGATAAATATGGCGCCATGAGACGCGGTTTAACAGTTTTGACAGAACCCACTTCGTCGGAACTGTGAATCCGCGCGTTCTTCAGAGTCGTCGAAGGATTTGGTTTAATGCTTATTGATAATAGCTGTAACTTCAAATAATTTTCCAGTGAATGATATTGTCTGCGTATTTTCACTTCTAACGTCGCAAGACGTGAATGTGTTTAGAACGGAATGTGAATAGAACGGAAGTTTTATCCAGTTATTCCTTACTTGTGTCTGAGCATGCGGCATGATTACATTGCACAAGCTCGCGTGCACATTGTATCTTAGTTAAAAGCAGAATAGCTCCGCCGCCAAGTTGGGGAACAGCCAACTGACACGGGGAATTCGCGTCATGGGCTCCTGAAACTGGGGCTTTTGAAAGCGGGGCAAAGAGGACGGGGTGTTTGACGCGGGGTATTTGACTCGGGGCTTTTAACATCGGGTGCTTTCGTGCAACTACCCCTCCCCTTTCAGTAACGCCAGGGCGGTGCCGCAGGGCTCGGTCCTCGGGCCTCTTTTGTTCTTGGTTTTTTATCAATGACATTGTTAAAGACATTCAAGTACCCGTTAAATTTTTTTTCCAGATGATTGCGTTATTCATTTTGTAGTAAAAACTGCCCAGGATCACAAAATACTTAACAGTGCTTCGGTAAAGATCAAAGAATGAACAGACAACTTGCAAATGCAAATAAACTACGATAAAACTGTAGCAATTATAATAATATGAAAATATAATCCTTTAACTTATGGTTATTCAATAAATAAGAACCGCATTAAATTTCTTGACCACAACAAATACCTTGGAGTAACCATATGTAGCAAACTTTTTTGAAACCAGCACACAGATGATATTATTAATAAAGCTATAGAGGAAAACTTTTTACACTTACTTGAAATTCGCTGAGAATATGCAAACACAGTTTGGTATCCTCACACAGCAAGTGGAATGAACAAAATTGAATGAGTGCAAAAACTTGCTCGGAGATTTTGTATAGTGTTTCGGCGTCGTGTTTACTGGAACAAGCTAACATCCAGTCACTGAAGACTAGAGCGAGAATAAACAGATTGCGTAATTTATACTCTTCTATAAAAGGGTATTTAATGTTAATAGTACAAAATACATGGAATTTTCAAAAAGACGATCGGCTAGACTAAATCATACAACGGCTATTAAACAATACAATGTTAGGCACGATGTGTTTAGATATTCTTTTTTTCCTCTGGCAGTCGACGAATGGAACTCTTTACCAAACGAAGTTGTAACCCTTCAATCATTGGACGTTTTTGTTGAGGCAATTACTCCTGCCACGAGTAATTCTTGAGTACAATATGTCCCTTTTTTTTGTAACCACCCCTGTTATGGCTCACAATTGTGAACCGCAGTATTTCTTTAAATAAATAATATATATATATATATATATATATATATATATATATATATATATATATATATATATATATATATATATATATATATATATATATATATTAAAAAACTAGGATGCTAAGATGTTTTGGCTTTTTTGGTCGGTTTAGTTTAGAATACTACGAAGTTAAAACCTCGGCACTAATAAATGATCGCATAATTCGCAGTATACAATCACGGCATCGAATAAAGCTCCAAGTTCTACTTCGGTAAATTGTGGAGGGGATTTCGGAATAATTTTAAAGGAAGCTGTTAATAAATGTACATAAAATAGCGTAGGAAGTATCTTCTTTGAGATATTAAGCCTTCTTATGTTTCAATTTTAATTTTTAAAACCAAACGGAATCTTCTTTTTTTTTAATTTAGAATGGACGTTTTGCAAGGACACCAAGACAAACGTTACCTCCGCTGACTTTGCCTAAACTCTTACTCCGGGTACATTACAAGTCACCTTACAAACGTCAAACACGGTAACCAAACACCGAATAAAGCGAAAAAAATTTAAATAAGCACGAAAATAATAATAATGACATCTCAATGTATCGGCCAAATAACAACCAAAAATGACGCGCTCTAATCTCTCTCTCAGCCGTGCCCCGTTAAATCCGGTCTGTCAAGCTACAAGTTACACAAGTGACAAAAGGGCACGCAGATGGGCATTGCGGCATTACTCTTTGCAAGTTAAATTATCAAGCGAGCGTGCTGTTAACAATAACATAGAAAGAACAAAAACGTAGAGGCGAAGGGCGTGTCCGTCCTTCTTTACTCACGCATTCATTCATCCTTTGTACGCGTACCTTGTCTATAGACCAACACACTGCTTACAAACAAGCCCGCGTTTGCCCACACCAGATGTCGGCATTGCACTTGCGCAGAAACCAGAATTGCGTCAGGCCAAGCATCTGCGCATGCGCAGTGCCGACAGCAGCGCCACCGCACTTGCGTGACGTCAGAGAGTTGAGTTGGTCTATAGGCGAGGATGTCCTGACGTCCACTCTAGGCTTTTTTTTTCTATTAATAGTTGAGATTACACGCGGCAGAAAGACCCTAAACAATACTGCTGTCAGTGACACCTTGCGAAACGCAGGGCAAGGCGAGTACCGGAGATCGTATTTTCGATTTAGTAAACCACGTTCTGTGTTTCTTAACTCGTTAACGACTATAGTCCTACCGCTTCGCCGAGACAGCCGAGACTGAAAACGAGAGAAAGTTAAGCTAAACTGTCTGTCTCTCGCTCTCTTTCTTTCCTTCTCCCGCGCACGGATTCTCAGCATTTACTTTAGCGTCGGTTTTCGTTATAGCCGTACATTTTTACATAATCTATTTGTCATTCGTCCGTAAATTATAGATTTTTTTTCGCGCATATCGATTTACCTGGGAGTAACGAAAATAAAATAGATTTTTAAAATGTTTGTAGTTGTATTCACAGTCGTTGTTAACGTGTCATAAAAACGTAAAGGTTTAGAAAAAGAAAGAAAAACAGAAAAGCGAACGTGTGCGATCAGAACTGCACGCACTTGGTCAGCGGCAGTCACTTGTTTCGTAGAGACAGGATCGCAGTCGCTGTACGCGGCGAAGATCACGAGGCCCACGTAGCACAGGAGACTTTGGAGGGCCACTACTCCAACGAGGTTGACCCACAAGGCTCTTTGAACAAAATAAAAATGAAAGGCACAACTGAAACAGTTCCGTGCAACGCATGGCTTTTAGTACTAAACTCAACTGAAGCTCATTGATATTTTTTGTTAGGGTTTTTCGCGAGTCGTCGAACAAATACCGCCTGTTTCACAGTGCGAAGCTCGCACGTCTTTGCCTTCAATGGCACCGCGTACAACTTTTCAGGTGTAGTCTATCCGGCTCTGTGCCGCTAGGCTTGAATGGGGGTAAAGAACGTAGGCAACGTTGTCGGACTAAGAACGACAGAAAAACAAACAAAACATTAACCGATTTGACCTGTGAAGCAAGTGGTATATAAATAATTAAGTTTTGTGTAAATATTGTTAGGTCCACTAATCACCTGATTTACGACGATACCAATTCAGATGGCCTGTGAATAAAGGTGCTTCTTCAAACATTTTTACATTCATGTTGCATCTTCACCAGAGTAATATTTGCGGTCTTTTATCATGACTGTTGGATGACTATATCCTTCGAGCACTTCTTTAACTGCCGCCAGTGTACAATATAGTTATCGAACTTAATTAATGCCCTATAGTATTGTTTGTCCCTCTAGCGCTTTTGTAGTTTGTACATTAAATGTTTTGTTGTTTGCATGTCTTTTTTGCGCAATTTATATATTTTATACCACAGCCGCGTCGGCTCCACGCCGGTGCAGGGTTGGATTCGTGGTATGGTGGGAATCGTTACTTTAATTAATACATTTATTATTTACTAATTTTTTATAAAGTGGAGCGTATATAGTGTAACTGAAATATCAAGTCGAGCCTTCATCAAAAAACGCTAGGTGTACAAATTTCTTATAAGAAAGTACGCTAACAAGAGTGCACGTACGTTGCAAAAACATCAAACTGACTGGCAGCAGCCTTTTGCATACCATCAAAACAAATTGCTATGAAACATTCTACAATCACGCGAGCGACCGCTAGAAATAATAAAATAATGTACCTCTCCCTTTCGTCAAATTAAAGGTCGCCATACGAATCTTCCGATATTTAAGGCGAAGAAGAAATAAAACAACAGAGTGGGATCCACTTGCCTTCGCACTGCTTGTATACTGGGCATGCTGAGGTAACGTTGTACCCAGCTCTGATTGACGGCGTAGAGTGTGAGCCATAGAAAGGTGCCTCCAATGACCATTGCCCACACGGAATGACGGACAGTCGGGTCAGGCCGAAAGCTTTCAGCAGAACCGGGGGCCAAAACAAAGGCAGGTTTTACACTCCTTGTCATGGTCATTCCTGATTTACAGTATCTTACCAGCGCACATTAAGATAGCTAGAATCCTCGGGGGGCGGGCGTAGGTGTCTGAGTGAGTTAGACCATTACAGCTTAGACACGCAGAGCGAAAGTCGCGTTGCAGTACTCGGGGATCCTGGGTTCGATCCCCGCACCTACCCGTTTCCACCAGGCGCCTTAATCTGGACACCCGGTGTCCATCTTATTGTTCTCTTAAATTTGACGAACTTATCTCCTGAACTCTCTCCCTATCTCATTTAAGACCATCCGAAAGAAATCACTGCCAAAACTAGAACGCGCAAATTCGTGAGATTTTTTTTCTTTTTTTTTAAGGCTTTGAGCAAGATTGTCCTGGTGTTACTTCACTAGCTAATACGACAGAGAGGAGAGCGATTCGGATTAATAAAATTAGTCTTGAAACTCAGAAGCGGTGACAAGTATCACGTGTCTCCGAGTAACTCACTCCAGCAGCTGCAGTCTTCCTGTGTTCAAATTCTTTTGGAAGACGACGCCGGGCCCGCCGACGTCCAGAGTTCCCTTCACAGCGAGCAGAACAATGGAGGCGTACTTGATGAAACTCATGAAAACGTCCGCCATTACTATCGCCTTGATGCCGCCCTGAAATGAGTTCCAATGAATTTGTATTGGACACCCGATACCACCCTAGTTAAAGTATACCTGCCTGGAGTCAGCTAGGGCACTCGGCAGTTATCGAAAAATATATGTGGTCAACTTAAAGTGAATCCGACAATTTTAAGGCGGAAAATTATCAACTGGCGGTCATCCTACTTTGATTTTCTAATGTCTGGTCTTGGGAGCCAGGCGCGGATAAAACGGTATCATAAACCAGCTACCACCTTACATGAGACAAAGATACGTATATATCTTTGTATGAAAGAAATGTATGCCTTTTGTGCCCGAAAAATATATATATATATTTGGCAGATGGAGATACAACATATTATGGCCAGATATGGTCATATACTATATATGTACAGTCTGAACTTGGTAGCTTCAAGACATTCCTGCAAAATATTTGTTGTTGCGGTGCTCGTTGCTAATTTTCTCAACTCGTATAATCGAACAGATTACACTATCAGCTCTTTAGCTGAAATATTTTCATCGCTTTCAAAGTCTGGACCGCAACAATTAAATTACCGAACTGTATTTTTTTTTTATGAACCTTGTTTTGTTTTTTTCTTTTTCTTTTTTCCCCTCGGAGATACAAATAGGTCCTCTATGTTGTTGATGTACAAATTTGAAGACCCATTATATAGGGTATATTGTTATTAATACGTAATGAACTTTGAGCTCCCCGGTATTTGAACAAAAAAGTGGAATAACAAAATTCTTACAATGCTGGTGTAGAACGTACAAACGGCGCCAATAGAAAGCACGGACAGCCACAGGTTTACCCCGGTCACTGCGACAAAAATATAGTCATCACCTTTTTTTTTCTTTTTTTTTTTTTGCCGACCAATAACTATGAATTACCTTGTTGCAGAGCCAGAGCGGGTCCGTAGAGTACGATTGCCATATACACAACCTGGGAATACATCGAGGGCGGTGGAAGACCACCGCCCGATATTAGAATTATTGTATCAACCTCCTCAAACACCCTTCATCCTTTTTCAGATGAAGCTACAAAAAATCCATTTTACCATGTCCAGAGTGCAGCGTAGGAGCTACAAGAATTACATTTTATCAGTTCCAAAGTGCAGAATAAAGAAGCTGCAGCAACTCTATTTGTTCCTGTCTTCACCTAACCTCTATTCAGGAGATGACATACTGCGTGTAGAAACGTATGTAAAATTGCCAAGACACGTGTTTGATTCAGCTTACCATCTGCAACGTTGAACAAACTGAACAGATTGTTCGAAGTGTTCGACTGAATCGTAGCTCGAGGTACTGGAAGCAAGAGAAAAAGAAAGAGATTCTTCGCAGAAGACTTTTAAGACTCGCAGTGTTCACCTACAGACACTGACAGTTTGAAAATGAGAACTTTCAGTTGACAGAAAGAAGTAAAAAAAGGCATCATCCTATCAATATTTATGAGTATTGTGCTTAATTAAAACTAGCTATGATATTATATTATTTATTATCGGGGAACAGCCAGTGAGACTGGCGCATTAACCAACATGAACGCCGAAAAATGAATGGCGAAGCAATAAAGCATGAACATTGTAAGCTACGCCCCGTTGTCATCCCACACGATATTCTAATCATTGAATGTAGAACTTTGGTTTATATGCAGTCACTCTGTGTATATAGGTGTATGTTAAGATGCCGCTAAGAACGCGCCTTTGTATGCACTGGCAGTTTACGACTGAAGGGGTGTGGTTATTTTGAGCAGAGTTCCTAGGTTTGCTCTTGGTTCCTGATTGTTCTTAATGGCTGTTACTATAATAGTGGTGAGACAATCGCCCCCTCTCAAGCATCTGAGGAACCAGTTTGTATTTTGACACGCACAAAACTGGGATCGTCGCGTTCAATCAGATTAACAATCAAATTAAACCCAGAAACGTTGTTCAGCAATCTGCATCTGACAATTTGTGCATAAGCAATGTCCGCTTAAGTCTGGGATAACGAAGGTTACTTGAACCATGATTCTTGTGACAAATTAGCTAGTCTTGCCCTATGCCGAAGTTTTTTTTTTTTCTCATGATAGCTAATTTTAATTAAACACACTGCTCATAAATATTTATAGGATGATGCCCTTTCTTACTTCCCTTTGTAAACTGCAATTCTTTTATGACTTTTTTTTTAAGTGTTTGCGGTCAAACAGTTTCAAAATTGTTTGCACGCAAATGTATGTGTCCTTAAATAAATACTTTTTTGCAGTTAAACAACTTATAAACCTTTCCTTAGACACTAAGCTATGCCATGCATGTTAATACTATTTTTGTTAACTACCAAGTCGATATTTACCATACCAGACATACCTGAAACGCGCTGGTAACGTCAAGATTGTAGAACATCGGCATGTAAACATGGTTCGTCAGAAGCACAGTAACCAGAAGTCCCAACTGGATGACGATGAACTGAATACCGAAGAAGTACATCTCGGCCGGAATGCCCAGCATGGCGACAGGAGAAAGAGAGGTGCTGATCAGGGACATCGCCACTGGAACCACACCCATGGACTTGGGTGCCTGAGGCTTCCTCGAAGACGTAAACGCATAGTATATCCCAATGCCAGACGATGCGAGGAGCATCGAAAAGAAGACGCTGTAGTCCCATACTCCAAACTGTTCTTCGACAGGCATCGTGCCCTCTATAAAGCAGCCAGAACCTTGTCAACTGAGATTATGGATGCTTTTGAGACTAAAGTAGAATAGAACAATCGCTTCGACGTTGAAGACGACAAGAACGTTGCCTGTTCTCTAGGATAACGGACTCAACTGGACTATTTCCAATTTTGACCTCACGGCATGTTCTGTGGCCCTAACTAGGGCGGCCCGACACAATGTTCTCCTCGACGTCTAAGCTTCGTGGCAAAGAGCTGATGGCTGAAAATTGTGACTTGAGCCTAAAGCGAATAAATGAAGAAAACGAAACAAAAAATAAAAAGCAAAATGAACATCTTTTGTGAGGTTTCCACTCCTGCTCAAGACACGCTTGACTTGGAACCTGTGTTCTTTTGCGGGCGAGGGCTATGTTTATTTAAATGATGCACCGATTTAATCGCAGCGCGCTTCGCTTCGTGTGACGCATAACTTCGGGGCGTACGATCATGTCGCGATACGTTTGGGACTCCGATTCATGCTTAACCATGAAGCATTTGCTCCTATGCAAGCGTTCTCAGCCACAATGAAAATTTCTTCCCAAGGTCAACGCTAGCAGTTTAGTGTGGAATCGGTGTGTCGAAGGCAAAAACCTGCTTGAAAGTATGGTATTCGCGAAGCTATAGATTTGAACTAGAAAAATGTCTCGTCCTACCCAGGGCTAAATAGATTTGTTTGTAAACAACTCGAAGGGCCTCATAGCGGCGTAATGCCACGTTATGCATAGTGGGAACCAGTGGAAAGCAAAATCCATCCGCGCTCCGCTCCTGGCCACCAGGTTCCCAAATTGCAACGCGCGCGGTGACGGATTTATGGAAGTAGTCGATTGGGGTCCAAAAATCTCAAATCAACCGGGGCCTCCTAACAGTGGGGCCCCTGACAGGCAGAAAATAATCGCGGCATTCGTAATTTTGCCCGCAAAAGAAACTACTACCTTTACACTGCCTGGGCTTATCTCTGTTTGTCGCGTTGTTTTCTCGTCTGTGTTGTCATTCGTATTCCTTCGCAGCGCAGCTTAATCAAGTTACAAACTTGCTTGTTCAACGATTATACTACTAAACAATTTCAAAGGTATTTTTCGATACTACATACATGTTTTTTTCTTTTTTTTTTTTTTCCTGTGTAGACTGAGGAGCGTGTTGGTTGAGTTGAGGAACACCAAAAGAATAAGACACAGGTGGGACGGGGGACAACGTACACTTTCTTTCAACTAGCAACAGTACAAGCCACAACGACCTTTTTCGGAATCACACCCCACAATAAAAACTGAAACAAAGAAATATGGAAAGGGGGGCAACGAAAGAAAGAAGAGGATACCTTGAAATTTTTTTAAGATATTAGAAGATTAAAAGAAAGGATTACTCGACTGTAAAATCGTACAAAAACTACCTTCTATAAGCCCCCCAATGTGAACTTTTTTTAATGAAAACATTTATATACAGCAACCAAAACTTCAGTTTTTGGTGGCATATCAAATGCTGGGTAAACAAAATGGATCTAGGCAACGTTTCGGCGGTAACAACATATATCAACAGACCCCCGCCTCCCTCCCTTCCTCCTCCTCCTCCTCCTTCTCCTCCTTTCTCTCTCTCTTTCTCTCTCTCTCTCTCTCTCCCTCCCTCCCTCCCTCCCTCCCTCCCTCCCTCCCTCCCCCCCCCCGGCCCGGCCAGCCGAAGCGTGTGCGCGTGAGATTTACTAGAAAAAGATGTCCTATTTCATCTAATCATATAGTAAATAATTAAATAATTAAAACCGAATCAAATGTAAAGTAGTTGGGCGTTATGCTCTCTAGTGATTTAACGTGGAAAGCGCATGTAGATACGTTAGCCCAAAAGGCAGTACGTATGCTTAATTTTATAAGACAAAATTTCCTACAGGGATCAAGCAACATTAAGGAAACTTTGTATTTTACTTTTATTCGCCCATGTATGGAGTACGCGTCCCTTGTCTGGAACCCCACTACAATAATCTAATAGATAAACTTGAAAAAGTTAAGAACCAGTGTGCTTGATTTGTTTTGAATAATTATCAACTTGGAGCGAGCGTCACCAGTATGGAGGGAACCCTAAATTGGGGGGGGGGGGGGGGGGGGGGGAATCACTTAGCAAAGGAAGAAAATCTTTTAGGTTAATATTTCTTGATAACATATATCACAATCGCCTCCTAATCAACTAGGGCACATTTCTGCATCTTTTTTTTTTTTTTTTTATGTTTCGACAAGAGCAGACAGACCAAGAAAACACCGACCCTACCCTTGTTGTACTCATATTTTTGCATTTTCGTTTCGAAGAGTGGAACGCATTGCCGAAGGATGTATTTTTGTCTAATTTTGAAAGTGCTGTTCGATGACAAAAATTGTGTTTTTATATGTGTCTGTTCTTCTTTTTTAATATTTCAGTATTAGGGGAGTTTTGCTTGGTACTGTTTTGTTTTTATTTATGCTAACTAAAAAAAATGTTGTGTAATAGTTTTGACAATTAGAACAGTTTTGTACATAACGCACCTTGCAATGCCAAAGCGGCGATGCAAGTTTCCGTGTAAATATACAAATAAAAAATAATATAAACAAATATATCTGAATCAATAAATGTAACGGCGGTATTGTTGTGCAGTCTTCAACTTGAACAGTGCCAAAAAAAAAAGCTTATACCAAGAAAACATAGTTACTAATACTTTTAGTTTTTCCCCTTCAAGCCTTCAAGTTTGGAAACATAACGTTAACTGGATCAAAAATAAAGGGTAAAAACGAAATTTTCTTGTGATCCAAGTCACGATATTGTTGGCCATGAGGCATTATCTCAGTGAAAAAGGCGTGTTGTGAATCCAAAAGGCAATACTGTTTTCTTTCTTTCTCGCAACCTGCTTGTTTCGAAAAAAAAAAAAACGCCACACTTACCTTTTCATCCGAGTAAAGTCATATTTTTATACTTGCGCATTCGATTACCATCGCTAAAGTATTCAGGCAAAGTTCCGGATTTATGCAACGCATATATAGTTCATTTATCAGGGACGACAGGGATATCCATTTTTCCCGATTGAGATCATAAAAGGCAAAAGCTACACCCCGAAAAGCAATCTGAAACAGCTAAACAAAAAAAAACTTCGACAACCTATCAAGTTGATATCTTTTATTCATAGCTTCCCAATAGTATGCAATAAATATTTTAATAGTTTATTGTCAATAGATTCCAAGGAGGATTTCTACCGTTTTAATGTGAAGGCATTAACTGTCCCATTTAGCGAGGCCGGCGCGTTGTCTGGAGCCGTTGTCTGGAGCAGCGAAACGGCACTTAAATTCCCATTGGCTGCGACGCGTCACATCAGATGCTTCGTCACGGAAGCCGGCGGGGCCGCTCAAGGTCAAAGAGGACGCGCCTCAGAAAGAAAACACAAAGAAAAGCGCAGCAACGCAGATGCATCGTCACGGAAGCCGTGGACCGGGAGGGAGTCGCCGCGCCTGCGCAGGGGGGGGGGGGGGGGGGGGGGGGGGGGGGGGAGCGTGAGTTCACCGCCGGAGCGCCGTGTGCAAAAGGAAGACTTTGCGCGCTGCTTGTCGGAACGCGCCGCGTGTAAAAGCATTCTTACACGTTTTCGGTTTTTTTTTTTTTATTATTGTGTTCCAAGAGGTTTTAGATTGTTCCTCGATAATTATGCTGGATGTCCCTGTCAGCGTCAAGCGCCTTCCGCGCGGAGAGTCACCTTGCCTGCCAGACAGAGACCCAGACAGTCGACCGAAAATTTCGTCCAGCCCGGGCTTTCCCATTGCACCTCCGTGGAGCCCCAGAATCGGGCCCCCCCGGTTTACGTGACCCGGGCGGGATTCCGAGGCGAGAGCAGCAAGGCGTCGGGTTACGTCTCACCGAGGAGAAGCCCCTTCGCAACAGAGACGACTCCGGGACGCCGTACGATACGGACGGGACGACCGCTCTTCCCTCCGACATAATTTGTAACCTTGTGTAACCGATTGTAATCCCAGTTAATAAACGTCTTGTGAATTTTAAATCAACCCCAGTTTACGCCTTAAACTTACGACCACCTACGAACTCCCAAAACCCCAACGGATAACCTGACATGGCGCAGCCGACATCAACGGAGGGTACGAGCGGCCACACCCCGTCAACGAGCGTCAACAAAAGCGGAACCAAGGAACGACGCTTTACGGTCAACGACGCTTTGAACGCAGTGAACGCTGATGATCTTCACCTCTTCTCCAAATACGAGCTGGTGGAAGAATTGAGGTCTCGTCATCTCCCATGCAGCGGACCGAAAAAGCAACTCATCCGCAGACTTCTAGACGACAACGCCAATCGACGAGGAGCTGAAGGCACGGTGGAAACCCTCACGTCCGTCAGCGAGACTCGCAACGAGCAGCAAGCTCGCATCGAGGAACTCTCCACAGCCAACGACAAGCTCCAAGCCGATGTCGAACGCCTACAGGCCGAGATGCAACGCATCATCCAAGCTGTATCTTTGACGAAGGCATCAGACGTTCCCAAAGACGTAGCAACGGCTCCCAGCAACGGCCCGACAGTGCAACGGCTGGAGCCAAGCGACATCCCAGCGCGACCAACGCCCACGCAGAGCAACGTCATCATTCCCGAAGTTCCCCCGCAAACGTCGACTCCACACGAAAACGAACGACACGAAATCACCCATCTTCTCGGGATGATCGTCGAGACGCAAGCCCGAATCTCAGAGTCCATGGCACGACAAGGGCAACCACTGCAGGTGCACTCAACGAGCGACACCTCAACAGCAATCCCCATCTACGACGGTGCCATCGAGACCAATATCAAGCACTGGATCGCCGAGGTGGAACGTATCGCAGCCCTAGCTCATTGGACACCTCAACTTGCCCTCGTGAACGCCATTTCACGACTCCGCGGATCAGCGAAAGATTGGCAATCATCATACGGATCAAAAATCAACGATTGGGACTCTTGGAAAAACGAAATCACCGAGAGGTTCAAACGAAAAATTAC